ACCCTAGCCTCTCGCCCATGAAGCGTACGCTTACCACTACACCAAGCCGCCGTTGAGGAGTGAGCTGCTTCCATGTAATTTACGTTTTCTCATGTAATGTCACATAAAACCACCCTCATAACTCCGTTCAGAGAATCGCTTGGCAGATTTGGAAAGCGGATTTGAATTCAGCGCCCAAAAACACGTCTAGCAGTATAGGTCTTATTTCAAATGGCCACTTCTAGTTGGGATCTTTCTCTGGTGAGTTACCTCTACACCTATGTTTACTTAAATATAGATGGGACCAGAGTTGCACCAGTTTGGCGCTAGTTGGCAAGAAACGACGTTTGGCGTCGAAAATAGATACCATGTTCGTTAGCACTACGCCTGTCTTACCTTCACGCCACAGCTCAACGAATCTCTTTATGATTTCCGGGTTGTAGTACCTTTAACTAGCATTCCCACGCCATTACTGCGTTTACTCTCCTTCCCAGTCGTTTGATCTCTAACAAGGATTATATTCCTCGGTTTGTCAGATCTCCAGACTTAATGGTGTGTGACTTTTTGTATATACAGTTGTACAGTTTACCTTTCAGCTTGATCTCTCTTCTCTTGCTGCCCTTCGATCTGGTGTTCTGCTCGAAATCGTCTTTGCGTGTAGATCGATATCGCTTCTGCAGTTGAGGAATTGTGTTTATTTGTCCGATGATGGTATCAAAGGACTCACTAGGATGAAAAACCTCCGGCATTTGGACCTGAGCGGATCGATTTTGGTAAGAAATTTTGCGTGCTGAAATTGACATAACATAAAGAAAACATCATAAGTGAAGTACCAAATTCTGATCTGAAAACTGATCCTTAGTTCTATGCTGCTCAAGGTTGAACAGTGTCCTTGCTTCACTTCAACCAATTCAAAAATTAGGATTTATATTAGGTTGTCCCGTCCCGCTGTATTACTGTGACCTAAAGGTTGGGGTTGTGCACAACGCGGACTTTTCCAAGTCGTGCTGGCACATATTCGGCAGTTACGTTACCAATATGGCCAGCAGACTAATAAGTATGTATCATACCTTGGTCGCGCTGTCTTCCTTTGTTACAATTATTCCCAAGCAAGTTCGGAGAAGTCATGTCGGCCATTGAACGTGACCTCTGAAAACCAAAGCACACAGTGAATGCGAACACGGGCATGGGCTACCACCAGGTATTGGGCGACCTGGTTCGGTCTTCATCATTCCACTGTGCGAAGAACTGAAGACGAATTTGAAGACGAATGGCAAAATCCGGAAACTGCGTCGGTGTGCCATGAGCTGTCACCTTCAACTTCTCTATCTTACACGAACGATGCTTCAACAAAAGCTCACTACGCTCAGCACTGAAGAGGTCACGACGAAGTTTCGTGAAAAGGATAGTATAGTACATAGGTCAGGATGGGGAAGCCGTTTGTAGAGTCCAATCTACACCTAAAAAGAGTTCTTCTCTCTGTTGGTGTTCAACGTCTAGAATCCAGTCTTGGGAACTCCTTCTCAAGATCAAGTTATTAACGTTCACGCCTATGCTCGTTACCACTCAGCAACCTCCCGGCTTCCTTATAACATGAGCTGTTATACTGGGACATAAATTGATTCTTTCCTCAAATGCAATTTTTTTTTTTGCCAAATAGTTCAGTGGGTTTCAGTCATTGAGTTTCCCTTTGAAGGCTTGCTTCTCCAGGAAGAGCCTTGTCATAAAGATGAAACGCTAATGATGAATACATAGATTGATGATCGTATATGTACTACGAATGCGATACTAAATAAGCAGCCAACATAGAGTTCTCGTCGGACGTGCCGTTTTACTGAAAATTTAAGCAGAAGATGATTTCACACAAATGAATCTATTTGTATGACCAGTGAGCTTATAATTGAGCAATTTCCCTATCCGATGCGTGTGTGATAATTGTATTGCTTCCAGAAGTGAAGGCAGTCCTGAAAATTTTACTAATCTCGGTGTTTCAGATCACTAATGATTCGATTCAAGAGTTCATCAAGGCGTTCCCACAAGTAAAAGGCGAGGTACGTTAGCAGTTTGTTAGATTTATAGAACTCTGAGTAGGGCTGTTTACTCGACTCATTTGTTTTGGTAGCCGGACCCTGAAGTATCATACCTTCTTTCAGACATTCATTTGGGTCAAAAAATGCAAGCACTATCATTGCCAGTCGACTGTTTAGCACTCTTATCCATTTCCTTTAGCCGACTTATGCAGAGCAAGCCGTTATAGAAGCATATGGGATTGGTTCGCTCCGATCTGATTACCCAGCGCGCTATCTACACCTCGCAATGTAATAATCACTTCCAACATCGAGTAAAAGAAATTAGAGATTGCCAATGTCCTTCAAAGTGGAATTTCTTTATCAGTGTAAAGAGGTCAGAAGAGAAAGCACACCTGATAGTATAATTACATGACGTTACATTGTGAGCCCCTTTGTATTGGCCGGGATAAGATGTTGTTCGCTTTACTTTGCTTTTACATTTTTCAACTTTTAGGCGCTCATATTATCGAGTTTTACAGAAAGGTTCCGTGACGATCGTCATCGGCGGAACAGCAGCCGATTCCTCTCGTCTGTCAGTGCGTGGAAGCCGTGTTGTCGTTGACCTCAGCGATTACACATCCATACTTTCCATGTCACATCGGCATTCTCATTCGTTTAGCATAGGTTCGTTGATTAATAACATGTCAGAGAAAACGTTTGTGTATTCCGGTAGCCAAGGCGTGGGAGGGACAAGTCTGTCATAACGAAAGGTTTCAAATGAGCCCAAAGATGGGTAAATATATCTGTGAGGTGGTGCTCCGAACTTCAAATTTCGTTCTATCATTGTGGTTTTAATTGTTTGATATTCAGGAACACTATCAGATGATGAACTATCGGACAACGATTTCGAGAATCTCACCAGTCAGCGTAAGCCTTGCCCAGAATGTTCTTTCCATCTCAAAAAAAAAAANTCTTTCCATCTCAAAAAAAAAAAATCCAAAAGCTCAGTGTACTAGAAATGGTGTTTTGTTTAGGTTCGTTCTACATCGACGCCATATGTGGTGAGGAGGATTCACCGATAGAAGACGAAGCTGAACTGCAACGGTGGGCAGAAAGAGAAGCGCGAAACCTCGGGTTGATCGATAAATAAAGAGCTAGCCGGCAAAGGGTGTAGGTAAACTAAAGATATGTATATGTTTGTTTTTCTGAATACGGTGATTGTAGAAATGTAATGATTTTATTTGAGGAAAGTTCGCTTAATACTGATGTAAACCTAGTTTCTCTGATGGAAATTTGTGAGTAGAGTATTCGTATAGTGACGACGTGTATAGTGTGTATCCACCTAAACCTTAATCACTGCTACCTGCATATTTATGGAAAAAATTCTTTCAAAGTCCCATTTTACGGTAGGTTATACGTGTATACTTGCTGTAATCTTCAAAGTTATGTATGTGTGTAGGTGTCAAGTAGGCCACCCATGGAGAAATGCTTATAGGGAACGACTGCGAATCTGCAATCTGTAACCCTCGTTTTTGCGATTACCTTCTAAGTTTATATTTGCTGATCCATCTTCACTTAGGCTGTTCCATCAGCTTCTGTTCTTACTAGCTAGGAACCTCTGATGGGAATGTCATTTTCTGCATTCTAGGGCTTCTTTTTATGCCACTGTGAATCTTTATGCTGCAGTTACGCCCTATTCTGANGTGGGGGGGGGGGGGGGGGGGGGGGGGGGGGGTTAGATTGCTTGCTAGGCTAAGTGGACAAAGTATATGAAGTCCAGGTATAACTCTTTGCAAAATAGTGCGGTTCCCCCTGCGTACGATGCTGCAGAGTACGTCTGCCTAACCATAGTCGAGAGCTTCACATTTATTCGCTATAGCTGTTCCTCTCCCATGGAATATGCATCATGGATATGGTAGCACTGAATGCGGTTGTTGCATTTACCTTTGTATATGATGCTGGTACGCTTTTACGTTTCTAGGCATTTGATGTTATGTTTTAGCTTGCCATTAACTGTACATTCTAGTCGTTTAAATGATTGGAACAGAACGGAAAGCTTTATTCATTAACGATTAATCAGTTACAAAGTAGCATGGTGTAGTAGTTTTGATTTCAATATTTGATAATAACACGATTCCTTCGAGGGTAATGCTCATGCTGAGATGTTCGTATGAAAATGATGTCCTTTTTTTTTCTCCTCGACCATAATAAAAATCTTTAGATGGTTTACAATGGTTGATATGACTTGGCAGGGAAGAATGGTTTTATTGGGTTGGCAAGAAAGTTCTGCGACAGAAAAATCGAAGGCCTAAAAATTTTGTATGAACAATGTGAACACGATGGTAAGTATCATAAAATTCTAGGACGTTGCCCGGGCAATCAAGACATGAGTAAACGAGAGCGCAACGTGGGCTTTCGCAGCGTTGCCAGCAATGACTGGCCAACACCAAGTTCGCACCGCCAACTTCTAGGCATGGCAAGGGAAAAGTGAGAGTGTGACGGCTGAAATTTTAATTAAACCATTCGTTGAAAGCCCTGATCACCGTTCGACGGGCTACAGTTGTTGAACTGCCCAACTGATACTTCCATTTCGAGATACACAAACATTGCCTAATGGTTTTGTTTGGCATGAAGGAACCGATCCGCTGTAAGCTACTCAATACAGACTAGATAGCCACAGAGTCGCTTACCCTTGAAAATCCCGGTATTTGGCCAACGTGATCAGGGAAAAACGTTTAAAGCCATTCATCAGATAACTACAGAAAGGTGAAGCAAAATTTTGAACTTTCGCTTTAAAGGCACAGTTCACGATAGTTTTGGGTAATCCAGATTATGATGAAAAATGGAAGACAAGGTCGGAAATAGTGCCAGGAAGGTGGAAAAAGTGCGTGGATAGGTGTTTGCAAAGTGAAAAAAGGCTTCGAAAAACCGTTGAAAAGGGGACTCAACGAGAATGAGACAGAAGAACTTAGACAACATAATCAGACAAGCCCCACGTGTGAGCGGTTGCGTCGCGGGTTCGCGCTATAGCGCGTTATTTTAGGGTGTCTAAGCACTGCTGGAGGGTTTTGACGACAGGAACTCTGCTATTGCTATTTCGTAACTCTGCTTATTGGCAGTTGCGTAGGGTGTTCAAGCACATTATTCTAAGGTGATTACCGGTTGTAAGAAGTAACCTTCTACCATCAATGGGCTGTTAAACTATAGTTGAGTAATGTATGTCTCTTCTCCTGCATGTTTACTCGTTCATGTTTTTTCCAACACCACTGATAGGT